TCTCTCTCTCTCTCTCACTCACACGCGGCGCAGGCATGCTCGTGCGGCCCCTATCTCTCTCTTATTCTCTTCCCGGTCTCGTCCTTACTGTTGTCGCTGCTGCCCTGCCTTGGACTCGCTCGTTCGTTCTGCATGCGCCTGTGTGAACTGTGTACACCTGGCGCCACCATCCGCGAGCTTCCCCCCTTTCGTCGGAGCGAATCCGTCCCCCTTTCTCCGTGCTGCTGTCCGCGCGAGTTCGCTTGTACCCAGCTTGCTGACGCTGCATGCATCCCATCGAGATGTGGGCTGAGTACGCCTTGCATACTGCCCCTGGCGCAATCTGAATCCGTCCCCTTCCTCCCATGGTCTGGTCCTATATCCCGTCTCGGACGCAGCCTCCGCAAGGTCACCCCTGGCCCTCAACAGTACCTGCTCACTCCTGATGGTTCGGGCTCTGTACCCGTAATGCCAGGGCCAGCGCCCAGGCCATAAAAAGACTGCAGTCACTGGCCATGGGTTATCAGAAACTCAGGCCCAAAACTCGAACTCAGAGGGGTCCTGTCGGTCCCCGCAGCCCGTAAAGAAAACAAATTGACGACCTTTAGTTGATGTTCATGTCTCATAGGGCTCATAAAAGAACAGCATCCCGCCTCAGAATCACCGGGTCCTGAATCTGGAGTAAGTGCCGGAGGCCGTGGCCGCCTATACCGTCGATTTAACACCAAAACCCTGAAACAGCTGCCTCACACTGTTGTGTCCCGCGTCACACCGTACCATTCGCTTGGAGCCATAGCTCACACCATCGTCGAACCGTAATTCGATACCGGTCCCAACCGAACAAGGGACAACACGACGGCGGTCCCGCACCCATGCCGAATCTGAAAATGTCGGAGCCAAGACAAAACCGTAACTGGAAATGGCGCAGTGGCGTGCACCGCCCGGTTGCCGGACCAATACCGGACCTGAAACCGGTCCAATGCCTCACAATGCCGCAGCCCCGTTATAGCACCGAACCATTACCATACCGATATCGAGGCTGAGTCAACCTGTCTGTCCCACCGCAGCGCATGTCGGATCAGTGTCAAGATTGAAAAAGTCAATCGGAGCCGCTGTAATCCGTACCATGGCGATGCCGAGCCAAGTCGAGCCTGAAACAACCGGACCTGTAAACGACATTGACGCGTACCTGCCCCTCCGATGCCGAACCAATGCCGTAAGAATATCGAACCCAAACAACTGTAAACGAAGTTTCTCACCTACGTTGACGCGTGCCTGCCCCTCAGGAGTAGGAGTCTCTCTTAACCTAAACAACTTCAGTCTAGCTCCTACCACAGGATCCTTCCACTTTGACCCATCTAGCTCAGCAATCATGTAAGCTCCCTAGCTTAGCGCCCCAACTACATGATATGGCCCCATCCATCAGTTAGCCAGTTTCCCTGTCCACGTCCTCTCCAGCGCGGCGTCATAGAGGAGAACCATATCCCCGACTTTGATCCTTTCTTTTCTGATTCTGATGTCTTTATCCCATCTCACTTTGCTTTTCT